GCCCCAATATGGAAGGCAACAAGCTTGGGCGTGCCATTGGGGGAGGATTCTCGCCATCCATTTGTCGCCCATGGTTGGATGCATGCAGAACCAGGGGGGCTGGCTCGCATCTTTTCTTGGCACGATTTCTTGGAGGAAACGAAGGGCATCGTCATATCGCGCTTGGCAAGGTTTCGCGTGCCAGGTACGACGATTTCTACATCGAGGCGCGCCGATTTTTTTTTGCGCTCCATTCGGTGGGTCGCGAGGCTGCCCATGTCCATTCTAGCCTTGCTCCTTCCAGCTCGCCCCCTCCTTGCCCACCTTCCCCGCGCGTCCCCCCCCTCTCTCTTTCCATTCGGCGTGCGTCGAGGGAGACGCTAACATGATCTTCCACATCTACTGCGAGGATCCAACTCGATCGTCCATGCTTCAGGCAGGGTGGTCGTTTCCGTGGAGGTCATGCCGAACTGCGTGGCGCAGCGGCAACCGGCGACTTGTCCGCAGAGTGCGCGGGCGCATCTTCTCCGTTGAAACTCTGGGACAGGAGCGCAAAACTCGCGTGCGATATTGTGAAGTTGCAGTATGGCGCAATCCCAGCGGGGAGCAACCCGCGTGCGCCGAAGAAAGGGAGTGTGAGCAACCAAGCGCTGCAACATGGCATGCGGTGTGAATTCGCCCTCCCCGCAGGTGCTACTTTTGGCGACTGCAAGCGGATTGTGTACACAGTGAAGACGTTTTGGAATCGCCAGTTGGGCGACAAAATGAAAGAGGGGGAAATCAGTGGTTTGCGAAACGATCAGTTTTTTTTTGGGGAGGGGGGGGGCGGGGGCGAAGGGCGCGGAACGCGCCTGGGCTGTCGCTGGCTTAGCAATGCGCGTGCTTCCAGGGGTGTTTGGCCCGTCTGTAACGGTGAGCGCGGGGGAGGTGCCCGCTCTGTGTGTTTCGGGAGTCCACAAAATTTTTAAGCGGGTGCAAACAACATGAGGCACGAAGAGGCTGCCGACCAGCAGAAGCGGGCATACGTCGTCAAAACAATGTCAGAGTTTTACCCCGAGAAGAAATTTGACCGCGCCATCGACGGACGGATCGCAAGAACAAGCGGAGAAACGTTGGGGAAACAACATTTGGTTGCAATGCCGATTTTAGCGGCTTGGCTGAGGGGGCCCGACTCCTGCGTGTTGGGTGCTTCCTCTCAGCCGAAGCCCCAGGCGTAGCCGAAGGCAGAAGCCTCGTCCGAGGCGAGGGCGAAAGCTGCTTCCGAAACCGGAAAAACGACGCTGCCCAGTCCCATCGGCCAGGGGCGGAGGGCAAGGGCGCAGGGCACTGGGCGTCGACGCGCGGCCGTGCCCGGCCCCCCGTGCTGTCCAAGGGCAGGTCGGCAGCCTCCTCGACGGCCGCGTCTGCTCGGGATTCCAGGGGCAGAGACGGGGGGGGAAGGCGAATGGGCGGCAGTGGCAAAGGCGGCAACTGAGTCAGGGCAGGAGTCTGGCGAATATTGTCATCCGATGGCTCATGCGTCTTGTAAACGCAATGGGTGCTAGAGACACTTTGTTTATTGTGGGAGAGCCTGCGTTGTCGTCGTCGGTGCGCGTGGTGGGCCATGTGTCAAACGGCGCGAGTCTGGCAACGCGTGGCTCGTCAATCCCATGGCCTGTGATTTGGTTGCGGGGCAGGCGCAGTGGAAAAACAGATAGTGTTTGAGCGCGCGCCGGATGCATCTAGAGCTACAAAAGAGATCGATTGATTTCGCAGCGCAGTTGGATGGAAGTATGTCTTTCGCCATGGAAGCGTCTCCCAATGGCGATATCACGCCCGCGCCCTTGTTTCGCTCCTCCGTGCAGGGCGGCGGCGGCGCCTGAACTTGACTGGCTTCTCAGAAACCTGCGGCGCGAGATGCTCGGCAGTTCCTCGCGCGGGACCGCCCGTCTCCGAGGCCGCGTTCGCGCGTCTCCCCATCTCCGCTTGGCATTGGGGGGTGTCGGCCAAGAGCAAATGAATGCCTTGTCCGCCCGACTCAGACGGAGGGTTTGTTCTTGTTCAGAGACGCGATGAATCCCAGAATTTGCGATGCCATGGGACATGGCGCGCGCTTGGAGGCGCGCGAGCAATTCGCGCGCCGCCGCGGCGCCCAGAACAATTATCTAGATGTTGTGGCAACAATTACAAGGCAAACGGGGGGGCAAATATTTGACGCAGATTTTGGAGATTGCCAGAGGCAGCGCAGTCTCCAGGATTGGCTGCGCGATAAGGTCTCGCAAGCCGGCGGGTCAGGCGGCCCCCGGTATCTTGCCTGGTAGCACAGGGCGCGCTTGTGGGGCATTGGCCAGGTGGGTGTTCGGATGATTCGCCCAGCTATTTCATTCTGCGCCCATTTTCATTCGGGCGCGGGGTCTGTTTTGCGTTGCTTGGCACGCGTGCAGCATGCAAACATGGATGCGTTGATTGGGGCCAACGTGACGTATTTCTACATGTCAGGCGATGGTCATGTCATAGCTGCGCATGCCGCGTCTTTTGCCCCGCGAAGCGTGCGCGAAGCCGTGCGCGATGCCGTGCTGCGCGTATTGTCGCGCCAACTTCCCTTGCCAGT